ACAATGCAAAGGCAAATGCATGTCCTCATGAAGCTTACATTCTAGTGGGAGAGAAAGACAGGAAACCAGACTAATAAATAAAACATAAACGAGGTTAGATAGTGATCAGTGTTAAGGGGAAAACTACACCAGGGGAGAGAGACAAGTGTTTGTGGGAGGGTCGATTCTGAATAGAGTGACCAGGCAAGGTCCCACTAAGAAGGTGACACTGAGTAAAAATCTGAGGAAGTAAACCATGCAGATATCTGACAGGAAGAACATGATAGGTAGGGAAACAGCATAGATGAAGGCCCCGAGGAAGGAGAAAAAGCAGCATGTTTTAGAAATAGCAAGGAGTCCAATGTGACTTGCACAGAGTGATCCAGGAACACAGCAGGAAGAGGTGAGATCAGAGGCAAATGGGACTGGATCTTTGTAGGATTCTCCAGCGGTTCTTCGGATTTTGTCTTTCACTCTGATGTGATGTAGCCATTTGGGTTGGAGCAGAGGAGGGACGTGAAATGACTTAGTTTAAACAGGATCACTCTTCCTGCTCTGTCAGGAGTACACAGATGTAAGGGGAACAAGGATGCCAGGAGGAAGGCTGCAGCAGTAAGTCAGGCAGAAATGGGGTGGCTTGGACTGGTGGGTGGTGATGTAGCAAGTGCTTCAAATCTGGGTTTATTGTGAAGTCAAGAGTCAAAGGATTGGGTAACATGTGGGATGTGGGGTGTGTGACGAAGAGCAATCAAGGATGACTAAGGTTTTTGACCTGAGCAACTGAAGACTGGAACTGACATTTTCAGAGATGTGGAAGATTGAAGGAGGAACGGGTTTTGTTTTTTTAAAAGGGGTGTTGTTTTATGGGGTTATCAGGACTCAGTAGGGGACATGTTAAACCGGAGATGCCTATTCGACATCAAAAGTGATGATAGTGGCAGGTCCGGAGTTGAGGAGAGGTCCATTGGGACTGGAGTTATAAGCTCTGCAAACTATACTCTATTCCCTTAGAGTAACTGAAGACACTGGCCTATGTGCAATTTTGGGGAAATGATGACTGTATAAAAACACTAGAACAGTATTAAGAAAAATCATATTTGAAAATTCACCCCTATCCTGCCACCCTAAAAATAGCTGCTTTAATTTCTCCACATTCCCTTCTGTTTTTGCTCACATGCAAACAGAATCTTATAATGTTGTAAAAGCTTGAAATAGATACAATTTCACCTTTTGTTGTTGTTGTTTTGCTTAACATGATCTCATAAGCATTTTCCTAAGAGGCAGATTAGAAGGCCAACAAAGTGCTGAGAAACATTTCAGAAACAAAAATAAAGTATCCTACTTTGGTACAGTTTGGGGCTCCTTCAGCTGGTATTGTGCTTATTGGGACTTTTGTGGTTGGGACTTTTGTGGACAATGACTCTCTCTGTAGGTGAAGATGAGCTGGGACCTGAATGATGAGACTGGGGGAAGGGCACTCCAGGAAGATGGAGCAGCAAAAGAGGGAAAACCATGTTTTAAGAGGCAACAGGAAAGCCCATCAAGAAGGGTTGCTGGCAGATTAATTTCAATTGACAAATAGAAATTTATTTTATCTTTAAACATTTAAAAAAATTATCTTTTAATTTAAACTACAGAAGAGAGCACACCCTACCTCTGGGATTCTCTACTAAGGAAGAAGCCATATGGAATAACTTAGAATATGGTGAACCGTGACAGATGCAGTGGTTCTTAAAGGTTCTGGGTCTCAGACTGCACACGACCTCTACATGGAATCGATTTGTGCATTCATCCCAGTCCCTCACCGGAACTAGAGTCCAGTCCCTTAATTTTATAGAAAAGGCTGAAGGTCTAAAAACGATAAACGACCCCGACCAGTGTGAGTCTTCAGTTACTTTATAGAGGATTTTAATTAGGGTTCAATTAGCTCTGCCCTCCACATCAAAGACTATAAAAAAACAAAACATGATTCCATGCACACAACTCCATCTTGGAGAAAGGCCTTTGTTAGCTGGGAAATGCCTCACCCTTCACGGGCTCACCTGCCAATCATTTGCGTAGTTATTTACTCAAAAGCAGTAAACAACGACAACAACAAAACAACAACGAGAAAACTACCGCCCCAGACTCCCAAGGGGAAGACGGGAGCGGGTTTATGCTTCCTCCCAGAGCCGGCAGAGGGAGCACCAGGCAAGGTTTGGGAGCCGCGCCTCCCCACACCTCCTCCCTCTTCCTCGCCCAACTTCCCCATAGCCACCGCCTCAACTAAAAGTGACCATTGACCTTTCAAGCTTTTGAGCAGTGATGCAATAGAATGGTATTTCACAGAAAAATGGTTATCGAAATTTTGGATCCGGTTTTCCCGCGAATGTTAATGGTTTTTAAAAAGTAGGTCACATTTCGGCGGCGGGCGTGCTGGCAAGGAGATGAGTTCCAACTGAGGCCAGGTGACCTCCAACCGGGTAGGAGAAGGTGACGGGATCTTTCTGAATTCCCGGTCTCCGGGCGCCAGCCCTTCAGGAAATCGCAGAGACACGCGCTCTGCGGACTGCAGGAACCGAGGCTCATCGCCCAGTACCACCCAGGCGCGCGCGTAAGAGAGCCCCCCCCCTCGTCCCCCCGTCCCCCGCGACCGTCCGCTCAGGTGAGCTGGGGCCGCCGGGTTGCAAGAAGGAGACTGTGGAGCGGACTGGAGGGGAGGAACCCGGCCAGGCAGGTGCCGGAGACCGCCCGGGGGAGGGAACTGAGAGCCGCCAGCGCCGCCTTAGGAGCCGCTGGATGCCTTCTAGGACCTGAGCCGAGGGCACCGCCTCCGGCCCGCTCCCTCTGGCTGTTGGGCGTGGGCACCCGGCGCTGGGCTGGAAAGGGGCCTCCCCCACCCCATTCAAGAGTCTTGCCGGGAGGGGCCTTTTTGGGGACACCCCTCCCCCGGTCTCTCTGGCGCGCTACTCACAAAATGCGCGGCCTGCAGGGTCGCGTGAAGGGGCAGAGGGGATAGGAAAGAGAAATCCCCGCCGAGGGGCGAGGATGTCTGTTATTCGCTCGACCCCGGGTCACCCCTGGCACAGCTGGGGGACAGGGTTTGGTCGCCAAAACGGGGGCGATGGTGGCCGGGGTGTTTTTGCGCGTCCCCGAACCACCCGGAGTGTGGGGGTCAGGGGAGGGCGGGTTC